TCATTTTAAGAGTGTAATTGAAAGTTTGAGGAGAGTAGAAGAGAAATGGTTATCAGCCGTTCAGTTGAGTAAGGGATATAATGTCTTCCTTTTGTGGTCCTCACCTGTTTTGGTCTCTGCTGCAACATTTGGGTCTTGTTATTTCCTACGTGTTCCACTGTATGCAAGCAACGTTTTCACCTTTGTAGCAACTTTACGTATTGTTCAGGATCCAATAAGAACCATTCCTGACGTTATTGGTGTGGTGATTCAAGCCAAGGTTTCTTTTGCAAGGATTGTGAAGTTCCTCGAGGCCTCCGAGCTAGAAAATGCAAACGTTGGGCTGGATCACAACTTTGCAAGTACACATAATGCTGTACTTATCAAATCAGCTAATCTCTCATGGGAAGAGAATCCATCTCGACCTACCCTGAGAAATATTAATTTGGAGGTTAGACCCGGTGAGAAGATTGCTATATGTGGGGAGGTGGGCTCAGGAAAGTCAACTCTTCTGGCAGCAATTCTTGGAGAGGTTCCAAGTATCCAAGGAACTGTAAGTTGTACTGGTTAGTTACTGTTTTCCTTGCTAGGTAAGAAAATGATAAGTAGGTTCTGGAAGTTTACTGTAAGCACATACGTAATTAACTTCACGTCCTGCACAAGAAAATAATTCCATATCCCCAACTTTTATATAGATTCTCTGTGTTCTGCAGGTTCAAGTTAATGGAAGAATGGCCTATGTCTCTCAGTCGGCATGGATTCAGACGGGGTCAATACGAGAAAATATTTTGTTTGGTTCTCCACAGGATAACCAGAGATACCAGCAAACATTGAAAAAATGTTCACTTTTAAAAGACCTTGAGTTGCTACCTTATGGTGATCTCACTGAAATAGGTGAAAGAGGAGTTAATCTTAGTGGTGGTCAAAAGCAGCGCATTCAACTTGCTCGTGCACTGTATTATAATGCTGATATATATCTCCTGGATGATCCATTCAGTGCTGTAGATGCCCACACTGCTAGTAGTCTATTCAATGTGAGAAATAGTATTGTGCTTCATATCGTTTCTTCTGACGTGCAAGCTCAAATTTGAACCGGTCCTTTGCAGGATTACGTCATGAGAGCTCTCTCGGGGAAGACCGTCTTACTTGTGACTCACCAAGTTGATTTTCTTCCTGCTTTTGATGTGGTTCTGGTTATTTTTCTTGATGAACTTCTCTTTCTAATATGACTTCTTATCGATGGCTTGTTTTTCTAAAGAAGAAAAAGAAAGTGAACTCTTGAATCCCTGATATATTCTCTGTAAAATCACATTGATATTTGAAATTGAATGGTTATATTCACAAGAAATGGCCTTACATATGTTTAATTTATTCGCAGTTAATGTCAGATGGAGAAATTCTAGATGCAGCTCCATATCATCAGTTATTGGCATTGAGCAAAGAATTCCAGGACTTGGTCGATGCACACAAAGAGACCGCTTCAGAAAGGGTTGCAGAGGTTAATCCATCATCAAGGAGGGAATCTCGTTCAAGAGAAACTCATAAAACTGATACTGACAAAAATTCTATAGCCTCTGTAGGTGATCAGCTGATTAAGCAAGAAGAGAGAGAAGTCGGAGATACTGGATTTAAGCCTTATTTTCAGTATCTAAATCAGAACAAAGGGTACTTCTTCTTTGTCATGGCTGTACTTTCCTTCATAACATATGTGGTTGGTCAGATATCACAGAACTCCTGGATGGCTGCAAATGTTGATAATCCCCAAGTTAGCACTTTGAGACTTATTGCAGTTTACTTGCTAATTGGTGTTGTATCAACATTGTTTTTGCTATCTCGATCTCTATTGACTGTCTTTTTGAGTTTGCAATCATCAAATTCCTTGTTCTCTCAGCTATTAAATTCTCTTTTCCGTGCTCCTATGTCATTTTATGACTCTACACCTTTGGGAAGGATATTTAGCAGGGTAAATAGCTCAAACATGAACATTGAAATACAAGCTATAACATTGATACTAAGTATGTTTATGGACCTAACCATTTTTGCTATCTCTCCACTACCCCAAACCCGTGTATGCAGGTCTCATCAGATTTGAGTATAGTTGATCTTGATGTTCCTTTCAACTTGATTTTCGCCTTTGGATCTACCACAAACTTCTATGCTAATCTTACAGTGCTAACTGTTGTCACTTGGCAAGTTCTGGTTATCTCAATCCCAATGGTTTTTCTTGCCATTCAGTTGCAGGTAAGAGTTGACTGTTTTATTTATCTCAACATCCTGTATTTGAGTTCCATGGCTCTGCCCACTGTATGAAAGTAGGACAGGATTTGTTACTGTTAAACACATTCTTAACTTCTCATTTCTTTTACGCTCTATGTCTCCAAACTGAATAGTTCGGAAATATGATTCTCTAGCAAAGGTTGTAGGATTTTAAAGCTTTAATTCTCTGCAACACTATTCTCTTACGTGCCAACAGTAACTGGTAAATTGAAACTTTAAACTCTCTTACTCATGGCAGAAATACTACTATGCGTCTGCCAAAGTGTTGATGCGGATAAATGGTACTACCAAATCATTTGTGGCCAACCATCTTGCTGAATCTATTGCCGGAGCTGTGACTATAAGGGCATTCAAAGAGGAAGACAGATTTTTTATGAAGACTTTTGATCTAATTGATATAAATGCCAGTCCGTTTTTCCACAATTTTGCAGCAAATGAGTGGTTGATTCAACGACTGGAAACTATTAGTGCAACTTTTCTTGCATCCTCGGCACTTTGCATGGTTTTGCTTCCTCCAGGGACTTTCAGTTCAGGTATGCCATGATAAATATTAATCTTGGGACTCGAATAAAGGATTCTATATTATTGTTCCTTAACCTTTTGCCTGCTGTTAAACAGGAGGTTTTCTAATAACAGGCTATTATTCTTTTGCAGGATTTATTGGGATGGCTTTGTCCTATGGTCTTTCCTTAAACATGTCTCTTGTTGCTTCCATTCAAATCCAGTGCAGGCTAGCAAATTACATAATTTCTGTAGAAAGACTTAACCAGTATATGCACATTCCAAGTGAAGCTCCTGAAATTGTTAAAGAGAACCGTCCACCAGTCAATTGGCCAACGAGGGGTAAAGTTGAAATTCAAGATTTGCAGGTAAATTTTTTCTCACCACCCTAATTTTCTTGTATTTAGAACTGATCAAGATGCTGATAAGTATACTCCAAAACAGATCAAATATAGGGAAGATTCCCCTCTTGTTCTAAGGGGGATCACTTGTACGTTTGAAGGAGGTCATAAGATTGGTATTGTTGGGCGAACTGGGAGTGGCAAGACTACACTCATCGGGGCCCTATTTCGATTAGTGGAACCAGCAGGTGGAAGGATTTTGATAGATGAAATTGACATTTCTAAAATCGGTCTTCATGATTTAAGGTCCCAATTCGGGATTATACCTCAGGACCCTACACTCTTCAATGGAACAGTAAGATACAACTTGGATCCCTTAT